TTGGCAAGCGCCACATCGCCAAATGTGAGTGTGAACCACACGGACATAGAAAAATAAAAATGTTGAAGAAATTTAATAGCGTTTAGTTTAAGAAAGTTACTTGAAAGTTGCATGATTTTCTTCAAAGCGTATGCAACTTCATATTAAATTTTTTAGTTATTCTTCTCATATAAAGTTTGCACATTTTTCCCTTCTTTTTTTCATTTTCAGTCTGAACTGGATGTGCTGGAGCCCACTCAGGGTATGCCACTCGAGGTGGCCGTCTCCTTTCTGCAACGTCTCGTCAATATGGCGGATGTACTAATCTTTGCTACTTCGTTGAATTTCGGCGAACTCGAAGCGGAGAAGAATATGTCCAGCGGTGGTATATTGCGTCAATGTTTGCGTCTGGTGTGCACGTGTGCAGTGCGCAATTGTTTGGAGTGTAAGGAGCGTACACGCTACAATGTAGGGGCAATGGCGCGTGATGTGCCCGGTGCAGCGCATCTACAGGCGCTTATACGTGGCGCACAAGCATCACCCAAGGTGAGTGAGTGTAAAGAAATGAATATTTCAGTTGGCAGGCAAAAAAAAAACGGAAAAACCAAAACTATGAAATAAAATATATAACGGTACATTATAAAGAAAGAGACTGCACCTACATAGTACATATGAAAGAGCTTCTTCTTCATTTTCCTAGCACTACATGTGGTAGTGGTAGTGGTAACGTGCTTGCTTTGCCTATCTTAGCTTAGCTTCAACAACAGCAGTCAATTGCTCTGCAGCTCTTGTCTTGGCTTTATAGCATTCAAGTGCCACACTTAAAGTGCACTTTGCTGCGGTTTACTCACTTCTAAATGCTTACTCGCATGTACACATACATGCATGTATACATGTACGCTATGCATTTAGTAGTGTGTGCAAAGGTAATGCTTACATGGGCACGAGTATGTAATGTAAGTACTTTAGCAGTTACCTCTAGCCGTCTACTTGCATACATATGAACACGTACAGTGGCGAAAATGTAAATAGGGAAGAGACATTTTAGCATTATTTGGCTTACCCTTTTCGTTTGTTTAATTTTGTATTACTTTTTCAAATGTTTTTAATTAAAAAGCACCAAATTTTGATGAAACCTTGTCGAATTTCGCTAATTTTTGTACAAAGTTTGAAATTTTGATTTACATGGTTTTTTGTAGACAGTAAGCTATATTTTCGTAGTAAAGTAATAAAAAAAAATTTAAATTAAGAATAACAGCCAAAACTTGCCAAAATGTCCCTTCCTTATTTACAATGTCGCCATCGTAGGTATGTATACATGCATACATACATATGTGCTGCCAAAGCTGATGGCTCACTTTTGCATATATGCATACATACATACATATATGAATGTGGCATTTTGATAAAACAACTTATCTCGAGTTAAGTCACTTCCTCTTTAAAGCAATATTTGATTGCGCTTCCAAACAATATTTCAACTACTAAATAGCCAAAGGTGCAGTTTAAAATGGCCGTTTGATGGAAGCTTTGTAAAGGCAAGCGTATTACTTTTTTACCCAAAGTACAAATTTCTAAAGCCACTTAAGTTATTTGTCAAAATGCCAGAGTTATGTATATATGTATGTACATTTGTAGCACTTTAGAATGCCTTTGTCAGTGACTGCTATCAAATGCTATCCAGCAGCAGCTGCAGTTAAATACTTCACATATCCTTTCTTAATGACTAGCCTCTTGGCATTTTGCCGCATCATTGTCCGCTCCTACCTCATTTTTTCCTTGTATCATAGCGTTGTTTTTATTTTCAGAATATTGTTGAGTCAATAACAGGTCAATTATCCCCAGTCAAGGATCCTGAGAAGCTTCTGCAGGATATGGATGTCAATCGTTTGCGTGCCGTTATCTATCGGGATGTGGTAAGTGTTGAATAGTTTAAGATTTTGAATGTAAGATGACATTTAAAAGACAGTGGCGGCCACGTAATAAGGGACACGACTTTTTTATAAGTTTTGACAGTTTATTATTTTTTGTTATTTGTCTTTTTACAAAAAATGCATACTATAAGTATGGATATGTAATTCATACTACAATGAAAACCATATAACT